AAATGGTCGCTGACGGCGAAAACGATAATACGAAGAAGGGATGATAAGATGCAACGTGAGATGAGTTGAGGGCATCCTGGAGCAAAATTGCAAGCTAGATTATGCGTTAGATACCGGAATAGGTACATTTCCTCATACCGCTCGCTGTACCTCCGTCCAATTGCAAATCGAAACGTACTTCGCGTAAGGTAAATAAAAGTATTTTCAATTTAAAAATATTTTAAAGTCTTATTAGGCAGATCAGTCGAATCGAAATGCGCGTGACGCAAACTCGCGCCTTTAGGGGAAAGCGATTTATGATCCAGTAAGCATCATCCAAAGCGTACCCGACGAAGCGACAGCATCAGACAAATAAACATTTAGAGCTTCGGATATGCCTATATATTGGCGCCGCGTATAAATCGAAACAGAGATATACGTTCTTGTCATCACTCGTGTTCACATCTACTTCACATTACTCAGAATTCTTAAATAAATATCATATTTGTCTCTATGTTCTTGCACGCGTCGTGTAGTGTCTGTCATTGGCGGGGTTCGAACCTGAGACAGCGGGCTTCCCTAATCGGACACTCAGTGGCCGAAACTATACGACTAAAGTGAGTATATCATGTCCAACAAAAACGGAAAACTACCTAAAAGATAGGGAGTAAATACCTTCAGTGTTGCCTTCGTTTTAAAGCTTCTGCGCGGATTCTGCAAGGCGCAAACTTCACAAAGGCAATTTGTGTCCTTTCTTACTTTTTTGCAAATACACCGCCACCTAGGCGAATGGTATATTAAACAAAAGTGATTCGAACTTATTTTTCGACTTGACAGGATATAGTTTCAAACGGTTACCAGTTTACACTAGGACATTGATGGCAACAGAAGTGCTACATCAGAACGCTTTCTGTGCAGATATTTTCCGTGCTACCAAAAAGCAATAAATAGGTGAAGTTTGCTCTACATTACTATGGACACCTTAATAAACTCCTTTTTCAACCTTATTGAGTCGAAATACTTAGAGCCGCTGGCGATTCCCCAGAAGCAACTGTTCCATGTTGATCCTTTCGGTACCACATGGTTTTGTTTGGCAGGCCCGGCGTAGTCTGTATGATGTAATGATGGGTTACTGTCCGGCCGAAGGTTGGGGCGGTGATGCCGGTGTTGATGGACATCGAGTCAACGGCAAAGCCCCTTATGATCATTGAGGCTCACGGACACGCTGTTCCGGACTGAAACGATCTAATTGAGAACATATTTGTAACACCCGGTTCGTCCGCACGTTTCACACAGAGTTTAGTTCAGTGTTTAATACGGTCTTGTCTTGTCTGATCATGAAGAAAAATAAACATTTTATATAATTCTTTTAAAATGCTAATTGTTTCAAGATGTGTATGCTACAATAAAGTTCGGAGGCTACATTGAACACGATAGCCTGAAGCTTCTGAGAATGTGCAACTTAAATGTGTTCTGCGTGTAAAATAAAAGTGTATATATCAAGAGAAAAATATGCTATAACTTCTACTCGTATAATAATTATATATAATACTCGTAATTATAGCACAATAAACTAATCGCATTGTAGATCTGGCCATTTTTCTAAGTGTCTAAACTACGAACTGCTTATACAGATATCCCCGGTATAGTCGTTTTTTATTACATTAACATTATCGTAATATGCGTAGTTAAAATGTTTATGTTGCTTCTTTACATTATCATGGCCTTTCACTTTTTGTTAGTACAAGTATATGCGTTCGGTACTGTTGTGAGGCATTGCTTTAAGTGGCCATTAAAAACATGCAGCTCTATAACGAGACTTGCCAAACTATGAAGGGGGAAACGGGACGCCACCTTAAGTCCCCGTCATTTAACCTGCGTCAGATACTATTCGTCTAAACGCAGGTTAACGTTTCGATGCGTTTGAACTCGGAAGCTAACGTTAACAGCAAACGGGTTTTGCAAAAATTGGTCTACCCTAACGAAATTAGATGCTGATAAATTTTCTCCTTTTCTAAGTTTATTTGCATAACGTCTAGTTGATATACTGACTGCAAATAAAGCTCTAATGTCGACTTTGATTTTAAGTAGCAATCTGCTTGTAGGTATTATAGATAGACCTCCGTTTTGTAAGGACGTATAGAGAATAACTCTGAATATTTTGAAACGTAAAGTTGTGATTTGAGACGTCCTATTTCTATTCGAGTCTCTTCAGGAAACAGTCGCGTTTTCAGCCGCACGTGCTTAGTTTTGGGGGGTCTGTGCTATCCGAAACGCGGTGTCCTGCTGACTTCTAGGTCAGTTTACATGACTTTCTCGTTGAGGTTAGGCATGTTATCATATGCGCCTTTTAACTGTTACATGTCTGACGGTGATGAGGTCAGTGACGGTTTATATCCCCACGGTTATTGCCGGGGTCCGCCCAAGGCAGCGAAATCTATAGAACTATATGCAGTTATTTAGGGCGTATTACAAAAAATAGAAGTGACCTTTACAGATGACCAAGCTGTTGGTCACTCGTAATAGTGGAAATTAGAAAAGATGTAAGAATTGCCAAAGCGTATAACGCTCAGTACGGGTTGTGGACCGGGAGAGAAATACCTGAGCTGGACAGCTCTTGTCATAGAAGCGTACAGGAAATAATACCGAATGTACTATTGCAACGTATATATATATACCAAATGAATGTATCTGATAATTATAGACGCTAATGTAGATAATCATTACCGATTCCCGTTACTGACTTCCGTCTAGTTGACTAGTCCGAGTTTCAAGCTACATATATATAGTATATATGTGAAATAGGCCATAGGTTGGCCTGCCTAATCAGGACGATGTCCACCATTTAATTTCCTCTTCCATTAGGAACGTTCCTACAGTCCAAACAGACAAATGGGTCACCATTAGCTAAAATCAATGATTCGATCTGAGAACTGACGGTTTATTGCTTTGGCCTGAATGGCGACATGGCCGTTGAGCTATAAATTGGTGGACCACCGTGGATACGATTAAGGATCTCCACTCGAAGATAGTATAATCGAAGCAGTAGATATAAAATATTGTTGAGCCTTCCTATTGATCCTGTAACCTTACTATTGTCTATTTGTCTACTATTCACTTTAAATTTTAGCACCTTGCAGAAAATCTCCGTGAAAATTTTGCGATATCAGAGTAAGGTAGAACAAATACCTTAACCTATCGTTTTCTGTTTAAAAAAAAAATATAATTCAATGGATGATCTCTTATTATTATAGTAAACGTTTATTTGAATGATATTTCTCATAAGACATACGTACAAATGTGGCATTAGTTCAGGTACCGACAATTGAATTGGTAGTACTGACGGAAAATAAAGAAATAGCTTTGCAGTTTATTTACAAGTCGCAAAAAAGCCAATCCTACAATAGGTTATATAATAATAATAATAACAATAATAATAGGTTTTAAAGTCTCTAGGCATGGCGCCCTCGTGTTGGATGCAGGCCGTGGGCTCGAATATGGAGTTATCCTTGACGTGCATAATGACTGATTTGAACACGGTGTATGACGAAACTAGCTTCGAAGTGATTTTTAGCAAGCGAAATGGGCCTTTTTTTTTTATTAGCCAAACAAGGTCGTATCTGATATCCATAAATGAATCTATGGCCTTTTCTACAGAAAAAGAACATGAGGTGTATCTTGCACTGAGTTCGATCTCAGTCGGGTGATATTGACTACAACAGTACCATTCAGTATTTCCCGCTCTGTCTTGCCACAGTACGGAAATAGCGTAGGGGCTAACGGTTACGGAGAAGGCAAATCCAATCAAAAAGCAATCACACAAAGTGAAAAGTTTTTTAACTCATGCGGCACTTATTCATACTTAGTGCAATAACTATGAATTAGTTAAATCACTTCGTATAAATAAAGTGCATAAATCAGCCGTTAAGTTACTTTTTCCTAATTTTCAACCCATCTTAACCTCCTTATTCTAAGTAGACGATTACTTAGACTAGCTCGGTTGCTTCTGGCCTTTATAGAAGATGTTTCATCTGGTAGCTGCTGTATTTCGTCGTTTTCTCAGTCAAGACAACTTAAGTTCGGCGGATTCACTTAGGAATCGGTGCCTAGGCATCTCAACATTACAAAGCAGACAAAATCATCCCCATACTTGGTTCTCTGCGACAATGGCTATGCATATCCGGTTGAGTTTGTATGATTAAACGAGATATTTAGCATTAATGGATATCATGCGTGTAAAATTGTTCCCTTAAGCTTCTGTCTCTTCGCGGGTACAGGCTATGGTCGGCCTACGGCATGCCGTTAACTTCGTGTATTGCAATTTACAGACGAACATGCAAATCGAAGATTTATAGAAGTCCTAAGTTCCAAGAGTGTGGTTAGACTTTCTTTTGTCTAATAAGTCACGTACTCGGCTAAAGATCGCCAAAGTGGGGTCGACCAACTTCGACCCATTTAAGTTCAACCAACAAAGCTATCGATTGTGGGCAAAACAGGGACAAACGGGCCTGCGGATGCGTCTTGAATAGCGTGAGGTACAAACTTCAACCGAAAAATGAAAGTTAAGTGTATAGCTTATTGTTTGAGCCTGAATATTAGGCCTGAATTCATCAGACGTCCGAGCGTAAAGGACCTGTCAGACTGCAGTCACGATCGTGGCGTACAGGAGACGTTTTTGGGCCACGATCGGCTTCCGCGAGCTAGTCGTGAAATTTGCTCAGCCTACACCCAGTGCTTACCAAGATGGTCTTTAAGCATGAAAAGATTGGGTCGATTAAAGTTGAAGGCGGATTGATGGCTCGTGATGTTTACTCCTTTGTCGCCAACGATCACTAACTACCTTTCAATTTCCCGTACAGTTATAGTAAAAATGTATACTTAGAAAAGTTACTTTGGTGCTTTACCCAACCTTAACAACGTGCAGTGAGGGCATACTTTTACCCGAGTACCTTCATCTTTCCAAAAACGATTCTATACTGAGTGAAATGAATACACCATTCTAATTAGAAAAAAAACCGCTGATGGTCGGCCACGATGCGTCGTTCTCGCTCACTTTATTGGCTCAAGTGTATTGTTCTTATCGTTGGTATGCGTTTTTGTTTTTGTATCAAACTATAGTGTAATCTGTTCAATATAGAACCCTTTATCTACTATCATATATGCAACAGCAATAGCGTAGGAAGCGAATCCAGTCGCCTTATTCACTCTTCATCATTCGCAATATTGTATAATATATCTCATTCTTACACACGTAATAGTAACTTGTGGCAGTTTATCTATTTTTTTTTACTCTTTCATTATTCTGTCAGTTTTATTTCATTTACAAGCGGCATTGGCTTATTCTACGTTCCGATCCTTTTTCCGATGTTTTTCTTTTTCTGCTTTGCCCCACAATAATTTTTAACCGTTCATCGCACCAACAGGCGTGCGACAGCTAACGTCGAAAACAAGTTTATGTATATATATGTCCTAACACATGCTAACCACTGCGAAACAATCCATTTATCCGTTGTTCTGGCTATGAGTCTTTCGGTTAGAGAACACATCGTACCTGTGTTTGTACATGCTTTTGGGCCGAAATAGCGATGACGAAAAATATCTGGCGACTACCTGTATCCACTACCGCAGGGGCAAAACTTCAGTTGAATATGCAGAGAATCATAGCACAGGCTATATTATTGTTATACCTATTATCGGTAACAAAAGCAAATACTTAATATTCCTTCATTATAATAATGTCGATATTATTCAGATAATTTATAGTTGAATGTTACGTACAGACTCTGACCAAGTTTATTACCCTCCATTTATATTATAAATCCATAAAAGACAAATCAAATTACCTTTACGATTTTGAAGCAGCAAAAAAACAAAAATTTATCAACTTAAGGATATCATAAACGCTGGACCCCGATGGCCCAGCTAAGCAGATCTGACCAACTTGACAAAGGAGCCGATATCTGTCATCAGATCATCGGATCATACAGAGAAGTTACACTTATTTTGGCTGTATCGTTTTATAGGAGAAAACTACAATAAGAAGAATATAATTTTGTCTTTAAAAAAGCAAATAAATTCTACGTAAAAACATATTTGACCGGCGGCGTTGGTTACATCAAAATAATAATCGGTCAGGACCATTCTATGGAGGTGGACGATTGTAGCTATTTTGCCCTTTTGATGGGTTTATCTTTTAGTTGACTGCCGTAATTGCATGTTTGCTAATAATTTTTTCGTGAACATTTCACGTCGTGCGCTGCCGCTAAACGTTGCTCGAATTAGTTGGCTCCCAGTACGTAATCATTTAACAAGTCCCTAAGATTATTAAACAAATACTGTTCCGTCGTACGTATCTGCCTAGCCTGTGGCCAACTACTAGCGTACATTTTTATAGGCACACTTTTATATATAAGCAAGCGAATGATTAAATCGGCAGCCACACGTGTTAATGGCAATCAAGGCTCACACCCATATTATAAGCAAGAAGTAATTACCACCACACATTGGAAAATTCAGTCCCATAGTGAGAACGAAAACCTAGACGAACAAGCGGATCTCTTTTAATGAAATAACAGGATTACTTCAATATCAGTAATGTTGGCTATCTCGCAAAGTTTGAAAAGAAGATGTTTATGCTGTGCTTTCGTCATTTATTTATCGTGTGGATCAGAACGAATGGAGGGAAGTCAGGAAAAAAACCCAGATCCAAAAAATGCAATGCCCGATCGAAATAGATACGACCAAATTAGTTGATCAATCGAATATCTTTGTTCCGATTGAGTATCGCAAGAGCAGCAATCGTAATACATTTGTGATTGTGATAAACGTCCTACGTTGTAAAGGCGCCCAGTGCCTGTTCATCCGGTTATGAGTCAAATGACTACCCATATATGAACGTGTCCAGAAACTGAATAGCTGCCAGGACGAATCACTGTGACGTATCGAAGTTGGAAGGATAGACCGAATGTAGGGTGAGCTCTGGATATATAGGTCTCTGCTCATGAGGCCAAATACACCGTGCCGAAATATCCTTTTTCGACTTTCGTGTACTGGTAACACGTGCTAGTATATTAATTAACAGTATCGTTTGTTACAGAAGACACGCTCGGCTCAGTCGCTATACGCTCTAGATACCGGAGATCTTCGAGATCTGTTTGTTGGGTGGTCGGTCGCGAAAACGCGTTATCCTGGCTGTATTCGATCGTCACGTATTGTTTAATCTAGTTCACGCCTCCCTTGAACCCGCGGTGTCACGCATACTCGGTCTGACCGCAGACGAGGAATTTAATGGTACTTGCTAGCACCACTTCTGCTTCAATAGCTACTGATATACCTGAGGTATATCAAGTATAGTAAAGGTATATCAGGAGGTATAATGAGGTAATCGACCTTCTCGCGCACAGACGCGTACCGTCAATAATCTGTGATAAGCGATTCATTATAAAAGCTATTATTACATTATACGGTTGAGTGCTTACTGCCGTATCAGAGCAAGTATGATTAGACGTGTGACAGAACCATCATTACCAACCTGCTCAAGATGACCTGATAATGATGACTGGACGACGATTTTTCACAGATCCATGCCATGCAGACATTTTTGACGCATGGTGCTTATCGGAGGTCTCGAGTGCGATTTGGCCGTATGATTGAAAGCGAGCGCTTAAAAGACAGAGGTGTTCATTGCTTAGGCAGGAACAAGTCAACGAATAGCAGTACATCAGCGATATCGGCTAAGAGTTGCGTTTGTTTTTAGATTCGCTGCATAGATGTGACAACAAACCGACGCACGTACGTGTATGGACGTACGTACGTGCTTCGGTTTGTTGCAGAATGAACATTTACAGTAGCGCATGTTCTTCTTTCTGATTTACTGATTCGTTAATAAGTCTGATTACAAATAAGGCTGGTGTTGCTCGGCGACGCAATCTTTAGCAATGGAGCGTGTCACTTTTATACAGTTTGTTACAAATATAGGTGTGGTCGATGCTAATACAAAGAACCAGGTCGCAATTATTGGCTTCCTAGTCGAATGGGAAGAACGTTAAGGGAAACATTAGAAGGGTACTTGATAAATATACTTTTACAAAAACAGCGGACTTTCGATCGAATTTTCGTTTGTTGCCTTTTATCTGAACTGATGAAAATCGTTGATGTGATCAAGCAAGTCTCATATTTGATAGGTTCACGCATGATATTAGCAGAAATTCTAGTTCTGCCCCTATTTTGACTGAGCGGTCTATTTTTAGAATGAGGAATACCTCGGTAGCGCTCGTTGAACTGATCATGCACGAAATCAGCACGGTCTGTTTTGAGAAAAGCGCTTGCCTTCCTTCTGAGGAAAGCGCCAGTTTTTTTTTTGTCAGCATCTGATGTTACGTTGGCCACGTTGGGCTGTCCTCAGAAGTTATTTACGCCTCGACAGTGATAAATTGTTATCGACCGAAGAATGTAATAGGCCTATTATGAGCGCAAATATCATACATGCAATGTTAGTATTTTTGTTGCGTTTTAGGCTGTCAAGTAGGTATCGACTGATTACTTTGTAAACGTTTGACGATGACTCATGGCGTAAAGCTCAAAACAATTATTATTATTAGTGAGTGCTGTGAACAGTGGTAAACAAGGCAAGGATGTACTCTGACGAAATGGAGAAGAAACTTAACAACAAACGCCTTGATGCTGTCTTTAGATGAATGGAAGTTCGTTATGTGAGTGATCGCCAATCGTGGTCGTATTTAAATAGTCCCCAATGAGAAATGGTTGAAGGACACGTTCCTGGTAATCGTTCTGTATGAGGTACAATATAAGTACTCACTTCTACACATAAACGCTATGCCGCAAGCGAATCGAATAATGTATACTTTTAATATTCGTTATTTCTGTACAGAGGTACAATAAAGAGTTTAATAATAAGCGTCTTATATAAATGTTAAATAGATACATTACAGACATATATGTGCCGCTACAACTAGGTAGTTCGGACGCTTTAGGAAATTGTTTTCGTCAACTCGTTATACCATGTCCAGTGACTTTGCCCTGCTCACATACAGCACGGATGCGCGCCGTCATCTATATCGCGCAAGAACGATTTCAGAAGAAGGTCAAGTTATATCTTCACCTGCCATCTACGATAAGATCGGTCACGATGCTAGTTTTATCCGCGAACGTTGGTTCTAAGGAAAGTCGGAGGGTAAAGGGGTGTTGTTTATAGGGAAATTAACGACTACACAGCTGGCCGAAACGCCTCTTTTGAATCCGGGGCCAAGAAGCGGCACCCACGCAAGTATAGATCCCGCTGCTCACTCTTCTTTTTAAACGTACCTAACATAAACGAATCATCTTTTCTAATCTACATACATCTCTCAATCTATCTATGTACATTTACAATGTATTTTTCACTCTAGCGCGTACATACAATGAAACAAGGTTTGTTTTTTTCTGAATTATATAATTTATCATATACAGCATGTTGGTGTATTGTAACAAAAGATCATTTTTGGGTTACGCCGAAACTCTTCTATTCCGTTGATGCCATTAGTCGGTGTACGTTATGTCCGTACGCTGATACGAATCCTCGGAATACCAGGAACAAATACTTTTTGTATCAGGATTTCGGTCAGCATCTGTTAATAATGTTGTTTCTACTCGTCAAGTCATTAAATCACTAAACTAATTAAAAACATATCCGTATCGAATCGAGTTCGCTTTCGGCTGACAACATTGCTTCTATTTCTGCCGGACGGTCGTACGAGTGACACCGTGTACATTACAGTATACTACCAACAGTGCTAGCTCGATGCTGGTCATGATGCACGGACGCCTGCACGCAAGCCGGTTGCCCGTTGGTGCTGCACTGCATGTAGCGATGCTTAAAGCACGACGTTAGCTGAATTTTGCGCCGAACCTGGGCTACGACTTCTTGATTGCATAGACAGAACAGAATTGCCACAGCTAGACCCTGAAAAGGTTCATCAAATAACAGACAAAACAGAACGACAACAGGGTATGTCATGTGGCGGGGCAGGCAACGAGATTTAGTCATTAAAGCTTAGATATTATTTGTTATCGATACGTGCAAATAATACTTATGAATTATGTTTCAAGACTAGCAACGCTCTAGGCCAAGCCGAGTGAAACCTAAACGCCAATAAGTTTTACCTGTGCAAATGTAAAAAAAAAAAAATAGTTATTTTTTTTTTATATGACTGTTACTGTGTTAAGTTATATGATTGACTACAGTGCGATATGAACTTAAAACTGGGCCTAAAACATAGTGCAACTTTGAACCCACCTACGTAGTCATAGAAAATTAGCCCATTTCAAGAAGCAGAATTAGTGTTGAAGCGTCAATAGTTAACAGTACACGGGGGGAAGGTGAGATTCATAGCATCGTTCAAAACACCTTGCATCTCAGGTTGATCAGGTCAGCATCGTTGCTGTTACATCTAAATCTTCAGTGTCTTACGAGTGAAACAGTTAACAAAAACGTATATCAGACAAGCAGAAGCCAACGCATTTAGTGTGCTTATCGAAAGACATCTGAGGAGGCAATCTTCACCGCTCAACCAACAAACCGCGTGAACAAAAAAACGGCAAAATGCAAATTCGTTATTTATTAACTTCGATAGATGTGGGTTGCAAAATCAGCTTTCGAGCACACACTGCCCAGCTGAAAAATGGCTTGCTATATATGAGAGAGCTAATATATCTGTGCTGACTTTTCTAAGACCATGACAGCTAATAGGGATTTGAGAGAAATAGGGGAATAGGAACTACGCGGTAGTTTAGCTGGCCGAGACAGATCAACAGATAGCAGAAAAATTTGTGCATGTACGGTAACGAGAAATGCTCGATCGCGTTTTATAGTGAAGGATGACACTCAAGCAAGCTATTAGTATAACTAACAACACAAACTTGGATTTTTACTGGATATCGACCCAGCGATGTGGTTAACTACAGCCCTCGGCAGAATACCCAGCGAGAATTAATATACTGTCATATAACGATATGCGAGTAAAATCCCGATCGTGTTCGTCCTAAGTTTCTCATGTAGAATTTCGCGCCAAAGAATAATAGTAATGTACATGGAATGGATCGGATGGTACGCGTTCTCTATCTATACGACCCTATACATCAGGATTTCTTCATATCGAACTGCTTAAAAATGACAACCTTCATTACATATTTTATAGATCAGCATGACCTTTGGGTCTGTTCATTACAAATAGATACAAGAATCTTTAGTCTAGTAAACTTTTAAATGTAACTTAATGCTTGTACGTCTGTGTTCCCTCTATATAATGTTCTGCATATTCATCAATGGCTAAGGTACAAACGCCCTTAGCCTTTAGTGCCTAGCCCATACGTGTATTGCCAACTGGTCTACTCCAACAAATCTAGTGACAGTGGCCTCTCTTTTGCCAGAATCGTCGTGATCTGTACTTTTGTAGCTCCTAGTCCTAGTACACTAATGTAAACAATAGCATTGTGGTCCGTCTCACTTTCAGCTCTAGTACCTGAAACTCTCATTCTAAATTTATAAATATGTCGTGAGAACTCGCCGCGCAGACAGGTCCTGAGGCGCCAGGAGGCATCGAAGGTCGTTGAACAGCAAATCGTGCTCTGAGCAATGACTCGAATGCGCATGAGATCAGTTTATTGTTTTTGGTTTCGTGAAAGAGACAGCAACAGGGAAAGTCAACCGAGGGCCTATTATTACGTTTCAGCTAAAAAGATTTCTCAACTAGGGTCACGCCCGCGCCGTGCCTGCGACGTAATGGGTCACACCCAGATTTTTTTGATGGCTATTTAACCTCAGGAACCGACAATTCTAGAAGGAATAAGACATTCCGAGTTTTATCGTAAGTAGTATAGTTTTATGTATTGACATTCATCGACGGTCATCGAGACGGAATTTTTTTGATCAAAATGTACCGTATTTCCTTGGGTTCTGCTCGCAAGCAGAAACTATCAGACGGATAGAGTCAGTGCCAAACTGCGTATAGTATGTGTGTCGAAATATTAATTTCCACTCTTGGAAAATCTCGGGAACACGAATATGCAAGAGAAGGTAAATATCGGTTCCAGAGGCGTTCGCTGTAGATTTAAACAAAGAAAAAGAGCATTAGAATAGGACAGAAAACGATATTCGGTTATTTTTCACTCGTAAACTTTCAACCGTGGGACTATTTTTTGCTACATATACCTTTCATACATAAAAAAAATAGCCTTTATTGCAACAAAATAATTAATCGCTACTTGTAGAAGCTTGGAGCCGATAAGTTATAGAGCCAGCCCCAATTTGTCGTGTTATCAACCAACGCCTCAAGAAAGGAAGCTTACGCTCTATGTCTACGTTCTTGGTTTTCAAAGTTGAGGTTCACAATAAAGAGTCGATACATTTGCAAGACAAAATAACTTTCAAATTGGAAGTTTATCAAAGCATCCAACACGGGATCAATTTGGTACGTTGACCACACGCACGATTCTTAGAAGTAGTCTTAAGACATACTGAAAGAGGCGTTTTAACTATTAGAAGAATATGCTAGAATTCATATATGATCACTGCCTTTGACATAAATGAATAAATAGAAGGTTCTGTTATGACATCGATAATATTTATAAATGCACGGATACGCACTTAACGCGGCCACAAAGACTCAATTATTTCATTTTAAGGAAAATCACGATGAACTGATGCATAGTCTCATTTTGAGCTATGCGAGGCTAGCACATAAAAACATATATATATGTTAAAGATCCATGATTGGATGGCGTTCACCAGAAGAGATCACCTAGGTGTATCTCAAGTGTACGATATTTACCGTATAAGAGCATATCAGCGTTTTTCTCACATGTAATACCTTTTAATAGGTGCGCATGATGTGTGTGCGTGTATGTAAAAATCAAACCAATAAGCGCAGCTTACCTGGAAGGAGGTTGTCACCGCCGAATAAATTTCATATGCCTCATAAAAGGCCGAATTAAATCCCGGCCGAAACGGTGTAGAAATATAGTGAAGGCCAAGCAGTGGCAACAAGATGAGCGTGGCCCTAATAGCTCGAATGGGCACTGACGACTCCTGTTGCGATGTGGAAGTTTGCCCAGGTGCTTTCAGCTTCGACCATAGTACCCGGACGATGTTGATAAGAAACAGAAAGTTCACCACGATCGATAGCGTAATAGGAATGGATAGCACAAAGGTATAGACGGTTGAAGCGTCGGTCCAGCACGAGCCTGACGCCATTGGATCCAGTGCACGGGGTACGGCGTAGGCAATAATGATTATCGCTGGCAGAACCCAGCCAATAAGGTAGAGATAGTAGATGAGTCTTTTTTCACTCACGAACGAAAATACCAATACCGTATGCAAATACAAACCCTCATTAAACATCCAGAAGTAGTTCGATAACAAAAAATAGTGTGTAATCACGTGCAGCAACTGGCATGTCAACGAGTTATCAACAAGAAATGTTTCTTTCGATGCCTCGATATACCATGCCAGCCAGCAGAGATTGTTAATGATAAACGACGCAAACAGATTTTTATGGATCGTAATTCGGACGCAGTGTAACACCGATCGAAAATAGAAAAATATCGCTAATGAAAAACTGAGCGCGATCAGTGATACTATATAGCCGCTAAAGTAGATGTTAACACCGATCTCGCTTAGGCGGAGCTTGTGGGTGCTCACACAGCCCGAGTAATCAGCCCAGCGATGGCGGCGCGTATTGAGATTATACGCCCATGTCCCATTAGTAGTGCAAACCTTCGTTGCTTTTAGCTTCTGAATAAAGCCGGGAATAAATGGCGGACAGTTGATTGAGCCTATGAGTCCAGCATCAGTATCGGCCCAGCATCCCCAGCCGTCGAAATGGCGCTCACAGTATATCCCAGTGTTGGACTCCCGTCGCGGGGCAAGTAGTATTTCCTTGAGGCACACCTTAAAATACTCCTGTTTTACCTCCGCTTCTTCGCCGGCTCTGAACGGTTCCCACGGCACTTTGACAGCAGTGCCAGCTACATCCTGAATCAGTTCATTGTCGTACTCATAGCTGCCACTGGCTGTCTTCTCATGGCATTTCATTTTGTAGTCTTCGATATCGACCCAGTTACCATTTTCGCTGCAAACGTATCTCGCCACGCCTCCCGTTGACAGGCATCGAACAAGCACATCCGTTTTTTTAGCTGCTGGCGGGATACACACAAATCCATTGAAATATGAAGGGCAGCCCGATTGGTTTGAATCATTTGCCTGGTGACACAAGACATATCCCTCGATTCGACGCATCATAAGATTAACATTCTGGTCAGTGGCTGCTAATCCGATAGCGCAGCACCATAACGTGCACAACGAATACAATGGTAGCAGAGTCATCCCTCAGCCTTTTGAGCCAGGGTCAGGCTTTCATCCCGCAAGCAAGACGAGCGTGTCCTGTTTAGTAGGACAAACCGGCTAAAGGACTTTTGCTCCAAAAGAAGTCGATTGGTTTAAGAAGTGGGAATCAGAGGATTACAGGAGTGTTCCTGGCTTGCGGCACTAAATTATGTTTTCGTTATCTGTTGCTTTTTTCACAAATGGATTTCTCATGTGGTTTTCTCTGCTCTAATTAAAGTACGTCCGTTGTCGCTCCGCTTCAATAAATATCTGTAAACGTAAACAATTGTAAATTATACATTAGTTGATTCTACGTTGTAATCGATGAGCGTTTGCCCATTTCCTGTCTTTGACCCGTAGATATAACCACAACGGTTAACCATATTGTTTATCTATATTTTAGGGTAAACTAGATAATACCTTTGAAATATATACAGGGTGTGCCAAAAATCTTCGGACAGTTTAGGTTTCTGTCCAAAAACTTTCGAACCGCCCCACCTATATAATACAAAAATCACAGCTATACTCTACTTCTTTTTATTGGTATTACCCCATTATTGGTATTTATCGACCTCTGTACTCTAATTAGAAGCTAGCACGACTCGTATAAAAAGTAGAGTGAACATTTTTAGGGTTTAAGTATTTATATTTGAAAACAATATTTTCGTAGCCTATTAGTCATACTGCTATTTTATGAAATGGGTACCTAAGTATATTGACTATTTTTGTTAAGCGAAAGGCAATACTAATAGAAGATGCAAGCTCCAGCGTAACTTGGAGGAATGTTTTAAATTTTGCGTTCGCTAGTCCTAAAAGAAACAGCTCGTAGTAGGATCAATCAACCTATCACACCTTCGGTGACCTAACAAATTAACTACAAAGTCCAAGAACTGTACTTGACGATTTCGATGCCCTGTGACCTACTCCCTAGGTACAAGCGGCACCATTCTACAAAAGTTACCGAATGAACGGGGTCGCTAGCAATCTAAACCATTATACAGCTGGTTTAAACTAAATGATTATTAAAATGTTTTACTCTATTTTGAATGAGAATCAATATAGAGTTGTCCAAAATGCTCAGACGAGTTAAAATTGCATCTTCATGGTCGAACTGCCTGGTTCCTTATCTTCACAAGGGCGATGCATGTCGCTCTAAATGAGAGATCGAGCTAGACTTTGTTACGCGTTGAAGGAAGCGCCCATTTGTCGATACAAATAGGTGTGCCTTAATGGAACAGTGGGGATACACAGGTAGAATTACAGAAACATTTACGAAGGCTAAGATGGCCCCCCCCCCCCCCCCCCCGCCCCGCGTGCAAAAGGCATACTGCGTCGCCGTATTTTCCTCGTTCTTCTTTTCTTCCTGGTGCGCTTTCATCAGCCGCTGACCTCAGCTACCGGATATCCGGGCTTTCTTTTGAAACCAGCACGCTGTTCAGTTTTTTTTCTCTAAGGTGGGCAACCCGCTCGCCGGTCGGCAGACCCAAACGACGTCCGCGATTCGCCCAGGGTGACCTATTAGGCAGACCTATCGCTTTACCCTGCTAGCAGTTAATAGGACAACGATATACGTAAAGAGCTAGCACCTCTGCCGTTTCTACTATGCATCCGTTTTATTCACAATCCAAAACTCGCTGAAAAGGGACAACTACAGCACAAGTAATATATGTTCCACACCGATGCATCTATACAGGTGTGTCAGTACACATTTGAGAATCTATGTATGTGCTCAGGAATTCGTCCCCTGGATACACGAGGAGGCGTTGAGGCATATGGAAATCAAAACGTATCTAAGAGCGGGCGTCCGGGCCAATGGGTATCGGGCATTTTTCTAAAAGGGTGTTTCAGTAAGTGAATGAGTGAGGCGTCGCTTACCATATTCCCCAAACACTTCGTCATTGGAAATCATTCATCGACTTAACAGTAGCTCAGATGAGTTGAGGCTCAAGAGTAAAGGCGGAAACAGCTTGCCTGTCAACGGTTACAATAAACTGTTCGATCGTAGCGTGAGTTCTAAACATAGCCCAAACTAGATACGTTTATATGTATGATAACGTATATATAAAACACGCTACATTGTTACTGTCGACGCTACAACTGCTATTGATCCACTAGATGTTTACAGCAAGATGTGACAGCACTTACTGCTTCCGCCGAGCTAATCGGCTGTCTGCCAGAAGAAAGTACGAGACTGTCTTACTTACAGAGCCGTAAACACGTTATTCAACTTTCAGTGTAGATTCTCTTCACTAGTACAAGAACTAGTACAATGGTCCGAGCAATTATTTACGTGTGTAGGTGAAAAGCCGCGTTGTTTTAGCGGAAAGGTTTATCTCGGGCCGATAAACAGATATTTAGATTGCGTACGTCCATGGTTTGTACGATGATAGAAACACAGCATCTGTGCACATAATGACTGAAACGGCCCTTATCGACTTGTATTGTATCAGCTTAATCCGAACTTTGCTATATATAGCACCAGTTGCCGCAGACCTTTAGCGTGAATCATATTGAAAGTCGGCCATCTACTGGATACGGGTCCAGCGGCTGTCGTACATTAAGAGATAACTTATCGCTGGGGCGATCAATAAGAATCCACTTTACGTAATAGTAAGCCATTGTCAAACGTAAATGGCCTGCATCTATTATCAGTTGGCTGGCCGAACTGCGCACCGTAACTAATGATAGTATGATCTGTGGATAGCAACAAAGATATTCAGTAAAGGTTGTTGTAATCTATTGCGCTTTTTTTTTTCCAGTATTCATATGTATACAACAGCAGATGTTAGGAATGAATAGGAAAAATCGACACGATCGAACACATCGGAAGATACATGCTTTTATTTCTCCTATTCAATTACTTGATTTCATTCTGGGAAACATTGACGGAGCAAATTCTTCTTCTTTTTCATTAACAATAATAAACAGTTTATTACAATTTACCTCTTCGTTCCGCGTACGAAGTCAATATAGAATCGGCGCCGTTTTACGTCTTCTGTGTCTCTGAGGTTAACTATTGGCACGTAAACTATCGATAGTTGTGATATCGTCGCAAACATTCAAAGCCGCATGAGTAAACACTGCTATAGATTGTTCTTATCGCTGTTTGTGTCGTAAACATTTTCGGAAACAGTTGTACACGAAAAAAAAAGGTCCCGAACCACAACTGATATGCGATAATCACCTGACTGGCTAATGGATTCATCTTTGCTCTTGTAAAGCCAGCATATAATCTTCTAGTCAACATTACCGCAGGAAGTTCATAAAATGTTTGTGACGAAGTAAGATGAAGCTATATTCCAGATAATATATGCACATCAGGAGAACAAAGTGTTGTGACGTATAGTGGCTTACAGAAAGAGAAGTCAATTTTTACGCATTCCCCGAACAGAGGTAGACAGATAAGCAACAAGCAGGCGGCAACAGAACGGCGTGTAATCCACAATAGTGATCAATCGTTCGTGCTATATAATACCTAGATAATATAATAATAATACGATTATATTGCTAAATACAATTCAAATTTCACGGTTTAAATTGGCCCTTTAATCCATACGACAGGCCGCTAAGGTTAAGAAAAAAGCGTACGTCATTTAACGTGAATTGAATGTTATTCGTAAATTATACCTTGGAGATAATTAGTCTGGCTTATTCCGATATCGATAATCTAACGAGTTTTGTCCTTTTCGTTAACTAGATTTTATCAAGCCGTATATCGGCAGGCACGTGCATGCAACAACATCTAACGCTAGCTAAATAACATAAGTGAATACGTATAAAGGCAACTTAGAAAGTGTGCATATATACACATCTGAGTTGGGTAAAGGTCAAGTTCGACCTTCGTCATGAGCAGCCTCATTTGTTTCTAGATTTCAAAAAATTACCCCTAATCAGCCATATTGAAACCCAGATATAGCACTTGCCTAAGCCGAAAATAAAAAAAGTTTCACTTTTAAAAAACAAATAACATCAATTTGCTTATAGCAATGAATCATTCAGCTTTAGTAAACTTTTCGAGAGGCAACTGTAATTAACAGTGGATTGAAAAATCAACAGCATCGTATCATAATAATGAAATATCATAGCTATTTTGTACACGTTTTTCAATTGGGTCAATTCTTTTTTTAATTAAGGCAAACAGAATTTAAATAGCAAAGTGGAAAAAACGCTAAATTTAGTAAAGTGATGTGTATTATCTTTGTCGGAAGAATAGCCATCAGCTTCTGTATGCGTCCGTCTCGGACCGACATGTCAAGGTCTTGTCCTCGATTCAGAAAGGCCAACGAGAATGTTGAACAAACTGTTTATCGAAATTTATCGCTAGGTCCTCTATAACTAAATAGCGTTGATTAGAACAAAGCCTTTTGTCATACCGCTGGGATGACGGTCTTTAGCTCGGTTCTCTGATCGATTATCTTGCTCAAGCGGCCAATAGAACTCGGTCAAACGCGGTAGCATCAACAGTATCCGGCGTTCTGTATTTATCTATTGCAATGGCGTCCGCAGCAGTTACAGGGATCGCTGGCTTCGAATCAACGAACCATAGAGTCATGCACGGACCATATTCTGCTATGGCCAGTGACTTACGCTTGCCTAAAAAGCTCGTCGAGTTGATCTTAGAGAATTGCTTACCATATCAATAAACCTTATTAAGTACGGTTTTGCTTGTTTTCCACATACTTATTACTGAACGCAATAACGTTTCCTATTTATGCTGATAGACGCGTTGAGCCTGCTCAATCTATAAAATATACGAACGTAATTATTACTGGATGCGCCTGCACGTACCTGTCTGAATAGCGTGCATAACCCTAAGAGCATACTCTTATTTTACGGTGTTGCTTCTTGAAATAAGCGCAAGCGTTCATCGTAGACTGGCCATTACAAGCTAAGCGATTTAAACTACCTTACGAGAGGAAGTTAATCATGAAGAAAAAGACAAGCCATTGGTCTTGTGGCTGTTTAAGTTTCCTATGCGCTATTTTCATCACGATGTGGTGAGCGTGTAACCGCCATCTTCGAGCTGATGGCGGTAATAACGGTCGCGGTCCGTTTGCTGCAGTTTCTACTTCCATTCCGTTGTCGATGCTGCTGATAACGGCTGTGATGTTCATAACGGCGATCGGCTCTTAATAATGATATTCATAGTCATACTGACAAGAGAACGGGATATAGGCACTGCTGATGTAGGCGTCCTTGACCTCAAAATGCCCAGCACACTTCGTACCACTGCATCGCTTCACTGAGTTTTTTTAGATCGGGTTCGGCCG